TGCTCGCGCTGCTGTTTCTCCTGCTCCAGCTGCTTCTGTGTCTGCTCGCGCTGCTGTTTCTCTTGCTCCAGCTGACTCTGCGCTTCGCGTAAAAGCCGCCGTAAATCCTGCTCGTTCATGTCCATCATAATATTTGAGTCTAATGGTATGAGTGCAGAACCGAGCGCTGAACTTGCATGTTGTTGTGTTGTTTGCTTTAGCCACATGACGTTAACTTAGGCGGCATGGATTTGATTTGTCATTTATCCTGACCCTGTCAGTAGAGGTGGATCCGAAGAAGGCTAGCGTATTGCCTATTCAGGGTCCGTGACCACCTGATAGCAGAGGTGCCCAGGGGGGGGAGGGGGGTGAGAGAACACCTGGCAAGATAGCTTGATATGAATCAATCCAATCAGACATCGATGACACATTGAGCACACTGACAGACCCTGTCAGTAGAGGTGGATCCCAAGGAGGCTAGCGTATTACCCATTCAGGACCCGTGCCTACCTGACAGCAGAGGTGCTGTCGATTGATTTGATTTGATTTGTTCCTACTCGGTTTTGGCTGCTAGTTATCTGCAGCTATGCCCGGTTAGGCGGGCTTCATCAAGTGACCGACACGTGATGAGCCATGGCCAATCAGAAGACCAGCGCGTGGCTCCGCACGTCCCTCTTCACCGCGCATGCAAACCCTGGAGTAAACAAACGTGGCCAGTCTCCTCTTTCACCCACCCTCTTACCATCTGCCTCCACCTTCAAATGCCTGGTATGCATTCGTAGAAAGTGGCTCTACTACTAACTATTCTGCTATATATAGTGAACTAAGCAGGTTTACGATCTCACTTATGCACCATTCATCGCTCCCGTGATCTTCCGCACAGACATTGTGTCGCAAGTCACGTGAGCCTGACTCAGCAGATATTCTGGGGCTTATCTATAAGTTGCGTCAGGATTGAAACCTAACAACTAACAATCCAATCCACTATGCAATCAATGCAATATTTCGCACAATAATCTCTTCCTTTCTCCTTCCTGTACGCTGCACAACAGCGATTCCTTCGCATGGCTTAGCTTAGCTAGGCACTCACATGCAACACATTGACACAGTGCAGGAACGAGTGCACATGCGTCGTGGCACCCTGGTGTCTTGGCGCTGTCGTTGGTTTTTGTCATCTCACTTTTGCGCTAGACAACTCCGCGACAAACCCCGGCAGCAAGATATAAACGCTCGATATCTCGACTTAAACAATATAGCTATAAGTTTAAAGCTTCTAGTCGCCCAGTAAAGACTGCCTATGCCATCCCTAAAGAACAAAGGTATGTAAATGCGCGTTGTTGTCTGCTTATACAGAGCATCTGCTGACACCTCAAAGAGCATCGTAGGGACCGCGAACATCTTCCCCGCCTCCGAACCTCCCGTGTTGAGAAGACGTTGGCGCTTAGGAAAAGTCTACAGTTCGGACGGATAATAAGCGACAAGAGGCAAGCGTGCGACAGCCTCTGTTGTCGTCAGAGATCTAACAATACACAGGAACAAGCCGTGGACAACACTTCGTTGCGAAGAATCTTACGCCCTCGAACTGGCAATCGCGATCAAACAACTAAGTCCTCTGCCCAGAAAGCGGTGACGCAAAAGAGGTCTCGAACAATCGAAGCCGAGCAAGCCGCGGACCCCAGACGATCTAAGCGGCCTCGAAAACTTGTCCAGCAGCCCTTACCTCTCTAGCAACCCGAAGGGAGGAAGCGATGCCTAAATATCTCAGAATCTGGCGCAACGGGTGCTTCTCACAAACGGGCACGACAAAATCCTGACAAATCCGCTGTTGACAACTCAACTGAACAAGAGGAGGCAGACAACCTCGACGGCCAAAAAGATCCCATACTGTACTGGACAAGGACAGGACACTGGCCCAAAGGATACTCTGAGCAGAGTGACAAAAACATGAGCCATCTACTTGCCAGACAGAAGTCTTCAGGCTCCCTTCGCCGGAGGAGATCTCCGCTGGCCTCTGCTGATCCAGCTTCTGTCGCGACGAGCTCTGTCGCGCCGAGCTCAACAACACCCAGCGACCAAAAGCCACGAGAAGTCAAGAGCGCTCCTCACGAAGATCCACATTATGAGACTTTACTTACGACGAAGGGAAGCTTTATGATCAAATCCGACCTCGACGTTGACGAAGGAAGTAAGACGCTTTGCCGCTCCTTACTCGAGAAGGAGCAAACCGTTCACGAGCAGTCTTTGTTTCGCGACGACCTCTTTGAGCAAACCTTCCAAAAGATTCAGAATCGGAATGAAGGCAGGGTTATTTAAGACATTAGTCGATTAATTGTACCTTCGGCGGAGGCCCTGACAATATACGGAGCGAAGCATCTAAAGGTCTTGATCGAAAGTGTCAACGAAGGCTGGAACAATTCCTTTCCCTTGACAGGCACGCCTCCGCAGCCTGACTACTCTGTGGGATTCAAGCGGGAAGCATTTACCAACGAGCAGCTCGACAAGCTTGCCCCATTTATTGGCAACTTCATCTCCGGCGATCAGTCGTACTTCATGGCCACGTACTACATATACTTCCCGTTCCTTACTTGCGAGGTGAAGTGCGGTGCTGCAGCGCTCGATATTGCGGACCGACAGAATGCCTATAGTATGACACTTGCGGTGAGAGCTACCATCGAACTCTTTAGACTCGTTGGTCGTGAGATGGAGCTTCATCGGAAGATTCTTGCCTTCTCAATCTCGCATGATCACACCTCGGTGAGAATCTATGGACACTACCCAGTCGTTGATGGGAAGGATACTAAGTATTACCGCCATCCTATTCACAAGTTTGATTTTACAGCCCTGGATGGAAAAGAGAAATGGACGGCATACAAGTTTACCAGGAACGTTTACGAAGTACGGATGCCCAATCATTTTAAACGGCTATGTTCGGCTATAGATCAAATCCCGGCAGATCTGGACTTCAGCGTCCCACAACTTTCCCAGAGCGTCGGGCTTTCACAAGACCTGGAGCGCCATAGTCTCTCAAGATCGAGTCAGCCCGCCTCGCAATCACAAGAGTTCAGTCGGCAAAGTGCTGAAGTCGCAAGAGAAACCACTCCAAATACATCCTTTACCAGCCGAGGCGTTTCGAAGCGTCCCAGGAAACGGCTTGCTGCAGAGGAATAATGCGTGTTGGAAACTGTTTTATAACACCGCGTATATATTGGTATTCAACAAACTCAATTCACTCCGTACTCTGCAAAGCTTCAAGTGCTCTGACGAGTCTGGATAATGTGTTCATATAGCTGTTGATGTCGACCAGAGCGAGGCAATTGATATCTTCGCTCCGCATGAAGGATGCCTTTTATATGGTTTGGCGAATTGCTCCTTTGACGTGTACGTCTTCTCTCGTTCTAGCTTCGACTAAGTCTGTTCAGCTTCTCTCCCGTGGTTATCAATCCGTTTCCTCTTCTTACCTTTACTGGGGATCAGCAAACTCGACAATGATTGGACCTTGCGTTTACCTTGGTTACAAGATCTTTAAGCTTATACGCTCTCCTGATCTTCTTCAAAATACTTAACGGATGTCACGGCCTGCTGTTGCAGGTGAAGGGACATCAGACTCTCAGCGCCCTAAATGTCGATCGCGGCGTTATGGTTCGCAGTATATGGCTCAAGCTTACACGGGTCGGCGATAGTGGATAGTACAACTCTGGCTGAGAGTACGAACCTCTCCTTCTCGGATGCTTCTTCTCGGCGAGGATCATTCTGTACGCATTCGAAATGCGGAAACTGCGTCAGTGATCGGCTGGTTCATGGAGGGGACATAGAATTGTTCGGTGCATTTAGCCCTGGTTGAATGAGTACTGAAAATACGGTAGCTCAACAGCCGACCGATAAGCCTCCACATTACGTAGCGACTGTAGGCGGTGGTGGAGATCCCTGAGTGGGAGTTCATGTGTCAAACCGCGTCCTATTGAGCCGAGTGGCGTTGTCAGCCACCTCACACATCAATGAGTAGTGTTCAAACATTGTTACTCATTGTTTGCTAACGAGTCACTATCAATTAGTCGATCGTGTGCTATCAAGCACGCCTCAGCTCCTAGCAGAAGGCAGTGGGCAGGAGTAATGCTCATCTATCAAAACATCTTCAGCCACTTTCAATGCAATCTCGACTCCGTCATCTCGGCCTCTCGGCATCAGTACTCCGCCGCCTACGACAATATTATTCCACCATCGCACCTGACTTCTGCTGCTGCCATTTCCTACCGCTTTCTCTGTTGTCAGCACAGAAGCGCCTCCAAAACCCCGTGTTATAAATTCCCCAAATACCTGGACAAGCGACCAAATCCCGTCTTCCGCCGCCGTATTGAGTTGTACCTTATTCTTCTTGCTGCTACGATCACGATGGCCAAGCCAAGAGTCGAAGGAAAGCGCGTAGCCAACCGAAAGGCTCCAAATGCTGCAAAAATGGCAAAGCAGGGCCGTGGGACGCAAGGTGGGGGGAAGCCAAAGCGACCGAGAGGTAGATCGAATCGCCTGGAAGCCATTGAAGGGGCTGCGGACAAGCTAAAGGATACTAGAGGCAGACCACGCAAACCACGACTTGGAGAAGAGGTGGAGGTGCTGGCGAAACAGCGAACGCAAGCCTCCTCTGAAGCCAAGAACAGCGATAAATAGGAGAGTAATCTCATGGCATCGAAAGACGTGAACAGAGCAACCGCGAATGAGGCTGGCGCTCATGGATTTCTCCCCATCAACAGCTTGAGCTTTTTACAGAATGAAGCAGGAAGCGCGAAGAGTGTGAGAAAGTCGACACGCATTGAGGCTGCGCATGATTCATTGCTAATTGGCTCTAGCACAACAACGGTCTTCACCGTCCCACGCCCAAGAACATAGTTCACAGCTAAGGGACAGAGTCGTAACCTTGGAATTGTGCTGGCCGACGTTGGAAACTATACTATGACAGCATCTAGGATGCTTGGCCTCGGCGAACTCGAAGATATCGATTTCTGGAATGGAGCGGCTGCGGCCCGTCATAGCCAAATACGGACTCGCGTTGTGGCTAGAAAAAGAGAAGCCGAAGGACGAGACTTGGAATTCGGGTCGGATACAGACGTGTGGTGCGAAAAGGAAGGCGAAGGGTTTATGTTTGATAACATGAAACTCGCCATAAATCCGGCAAGCGAGCACTTCCAGATACAACGAAGAAAGGAGAAGAAGATTTGCATGAAGGCAGTCTATCGGAGATTCGTCGAATACTTGTTTCATACAATCTTTGACTCATTGAAAACAGCCAACTCAGACATAGAGTATTTTCGCATTTACCGGACTTCCAGCAGAATGGTCGGAAGCTTTTCTCACCAGTACCAAACAATCATTGAAAACGTGTTGAGGTGGGAAGGGTAGGTTAATTTTCACATCGTCAGCGAGCCCACTGCGACCATCAATGGTCGTTTGAAGTCGTCGCTTGTGGAGTAAAGAAGAGGGCTCTGCGTGTATCTTGAAGACGCCGAGCATGGTAGGGTATTCGATATTGGAGATGCAACCGGAGTACGTCATGTATTGCAAAAGCTTCACCATCTGCTAATTCAGGTAGAATACCACTATATTCTACTCGGAGAGATACCAACCCATTTCCTGCTTCACGGAACTGGTAGGCTTTGGCAATCTAAATAGGATTTTTGATGACATCCTCAATACCTCAGAATAGCTGAAAACTACTTTCGGCGACCAGTCTACCACAGCCTTAGAGATTTGGATGCAGACGACTTTCCTGACGAAGTATAAGCCAATCCTTGGCTCAGGCTAGCAAAAGAAGCTTGAGGTCAACAACCATGTGTTCGATGCTTCATCCGCTGATAAACATGGCGGGCACGATCAAGCCTCCTGAAAAAGGTCAGCGTCGATCAATCAAGTATTTAAGAGCATAGCTGAGCTAATTTCAAAGGCAAATTTGAAGAATTGCTGGAAAGGAATCGGTAAACCGATTCGATCATATAGACGCTTCATCATCCTGAGGGACGTTGAGCTGCAAGCGCCACCACAATCGACGCAAAGGGATTTCCACTCCAGCTGTACTGCTGTAGGAGGATGAATTTTAACATTTACTTCCTCAGGCATTTCTTCTCCACAAGGAAAACAGTTATGTATTTTGTACATCCATGGGCCGTGTTCGTCAATGTCCCTAAGAGGAAAACGCAGTTCTCACATAGGACATGTCCGCAAGACAAGCCATACTGTGGACTTCAACATAGGCAGCAGAGAAAAGTCCTGCTGCTTCGAATACCTTGCCAATGGTGTTTAGATCGATCTAAATTGCCTCGGTGAATCTCTGCAGCCGACAAGGGATCGTGTTTTAGCTTCTCAAAGAAGTTGATCAAATGTGTACGGACCAGATTGATGAAACCACTCCGGAGAATGACATCTTTCGAGTCCGCGAAAGATATGACCCTCTTTTTCGGAAGTGCGTCTTTATAGAGAATATCCAGTACCTGCTCTGGGGAGAACACTGTCGACTTGCTAGACGTTTCCATACTGGGTATGGCGTTCTAATCCACAACGTGAATGAGGAGGGTAGCTATCCAGCAAAAGATTAAATGCGATAGCAAGAGCTGCAAATGCGGCGAGATCTCGAGGATTTCTAATATGCTTCAGCAGGTTAGCTAAATGCTCATCCAAGTCTTGCGGTGCTGGATTGTCCTCTCGGGAAGCCTTGATAAAGTCGAACGGCTCGTTAGTAACCCAAGAAAAGTGCTCACAAGCACTCGCAAGGAATGCAGCAAAGTGAGTCGCAGAAAAATGACACCTAGATAGCTCCCTATCCTTTCGCACTTGGTCTGATCCACTCATGATACGTTCCTTGAGCAGTCTATGGCAAGCATTGACAGAGAGTGCGCCGGCCGAGAAAAGTTCAATCATATCAATTGCCGAGACCTGCTCAAAGAGGTCCCTTTTCGTTTCCGCGCTCGGAAGCCATAGAAAGACCTTTCTTGCCTCTTTCTCATTTTCCACGCCTGTGGGGATTTTCTCGGTCACTATGACCTCCCATATGCGAGTACTCCTGGGAATTGTCGACTCTTGGACTAGCTCAAGCCACGTAGCAAGATGATGCGCAATGTTCTTGAAACCACCTAGGTCATCTGAGAAAAAACAGAACACGTTCACAAACGGTTGAAGCAACTGAGAGTAGTTGATACTGGAAATCTCGCCGAATGAGGCCGGTTTCTGGACTATCTGTTTCGTGGTTTCATGACACTTAGTGGAAGGGATTTTAGCCCTCAAAGTGTTTGTTGGGATATCACTATCGGCAATGAGTAGAGGCCTTTGGTTGAAGATACTGCATGCTTCAACATGGAGGTGTATTTTGCCTGGGACCCGCTTCGTAAGAAGCCGTTGGTTTCTCTTTGCTCCGAAGAGCTCGCGCAGAGTGACCGTTTTCGCCCTATTGCCAATTGGCACAAAGAGGCTTGGTCTTTGGGAATCCAGCTCAGGAATTTGAGTTGTGGTGATATCAAGGTGGTCAGAGATCACCAGGTAGGTATCATTGCCTTCGGAGCAAAGGCTCAGCCAGCTCGTGTGTTGGCTGTGCTTCATATTGAAAGCCAACAATGATCTAATGGCATCCAGTATAGCGGGTGGACTTCAAGTTATATACGCACTGGAGTCCGGGAATCAAGCCCTACGTTGGAAAGCCCTCCTTGTAGACTGAAGCCCGATTTCAGTATTTCCTGAAAGGGGGACCAGAATCTTGAACCCCTGTATCCCATTCATGCTTCCATAAAGAGAGTCTACAATACCTCAAGATGACACTACTTAACGTTACAATACTAGACGCAAGATCTTAGGATTTCAAAACTGTGTTCCCAGCACAAACAAAATGAGTCGAAAAAACCGGTCATTAACCTCTTGTAAATCATCCTCTATCAGCGCCAAAGGAGAGGGTGAACGATGCTAACAGACAACAAAGAAGCGAGGTCGTACACTTACCGGCCTACTCTCGCTGCGGCAAAAGCTGAAAGCCCCGTACGCACATAGAAACGATTGAACTGCTAGATCAGATCATTTGCCGGAGACCACAGTGCAAAAGGCTCAAGTTTCTCATAAAGAACGTGTCCAAGCCCAGCAATCTAGTCATCAAAGTGAACCATTACCACAATGGAGAGGCTGTTGCAGAAGCGGTACAACATATTCAAGTCACTGAGCTGCCTGGAGGTAACTAGCAACTGGCCGGACCGAATTATCCGATCAACTGGCAAAATGCGAGTATTTTGGAACGGAAGGGCTGCGTCGACTTCGCACTATCCTTGAAGAGGGGCCATCCCAGGTTGATCTTTCAACGAAGCCGACCAGCAACATTTTAGAAATGGTTTACGCGATGCGGCAGAGGAAGCAAGGTGCATATTCGGATCGTGTTATCTAATTTAGTTGCTAGTGTCCTGCAATCCCATCAGCACAGTTGTGAATCTTATCAGAATAAATTTGACAGAGATCTGACGTGTTTTGATACTCCTAAAACTGCATGCATTGATGCTACTCTTCCCGAAAACTAAGATAATCTAACTGGTGATTAAGCTAGAACGAATGGCCAAAGTAGCGCGATTTGCCAAACCACCAGAGCCAGGAAGCGCGTCATGGGCACGAGTAAACGAAGGAAAAGTAGCTCCAGTAGCACGAATGGTATGACGATACGTCATACAAGCTCGTTTCGTATCTTTGTGCAGTTCCGACTTTGATGAGCCATAATATAGCCGTCGCACAGACACGATATCCATTTGAGAACCGGACCGAACTTTTTATTTTTATACGATGGCATCTCTTGTCTGGAAGCCCGACAACACCGCAGCCTGAACTACTCGTTTTCTGGCGCAATACCATGGGTGCCATTCTGTTCCGGAGTAGGCCTGGGCAACCTTGGTTCGTTCATTTCCCATTCTGTATCAACCCTCCACTCCCTGGCCAGCTTACGACGTCCTGCCTTCGCGTATGTCCGCACATCCTCACAGTGCACAGCCGTACCATACAAATGCAGCCAAAAGTTGGACTTGCAGGGCCAGGCGGTCAAGTATTTGTGGCACACGGGATCCCTGCAGTACCGCGCCCACCGACGAGCGCTAGGCAGATCAACATTGAGCGTATCATTGTCGCTGTTCGTCAAGCAGTCGAACAGAGTAGGTGAGTCTGTAGGTATGTCGTCGAAATCGGCAGGCTTGAGTGGTTTCATCGTGAGCCTCGCCTAGTAATCACGGTCAGACCTGTTGAGCGAAGTACCCAATGGACTCGGCATTTTGAAACCTAAGAATTCTAGACAGTTGAATGTCAGTGCAGGTAGAAATGTTGGACTTTTAACGCAGACCTCTGTTCATTCGCTGAAGATCACTCGATGATGGCGGACCTCGCGGCTAATATACTCAGACGTTAAAGATGGCACATGTTGGTCGCAGATAGACAGCTCAAACAAAAAGCAGTCCTGAAAATAGAAGACAGGCGCTCAAACCGAAACGTATATCTCTTTGAATGTATTGCACCCCTCAGAGTCTTTTGAAAAATGAGATTCGTTGGCTCGGATACCGCCACAAAAGCCTACCGCCATGAGGCTATTACCGGCCAGTTACGAAGAATGTGAAGTTGCCGATTTTTGCCATCTGGTCACAATTTTGCTCCTTGACATAGTTCAATATAATAACACTTTGCTTACAAGTCACCCATAGTTGACGCGGATTTATTCGAGATGAGTCTTAGGGACGTGTACTTGCGTAAAAGACAATGACTGAAGCTGACTTCGATAGAGCACCACCTAGTATTTCAGTGGCAGACTACGTGAATCGGTTTGCTACCTACTTGGAACTCTCGATGTCTCTCCTTCTCAGCGTAGTGCTGTATCTCGATCGACTATCGACAAGATATCCGACCTTTATCCTGTCGTCCTTAAAGATCTATCGATTCCTGATTAGCACTGCAACAGTGGTAGGAAAAGGTTTCAGTGATAGGTACTGCTCCAATTATGTCTATGCGAGAGACGGCAGTATCACGACTCTCGAATTTGCATTGCTCGAACTCGATCTTTTGCAGAGATCTCAGTGGCACATCACCCCTCGACACGGAGTGCTCGAGGAGTACTACCGGGGCCCGATGAAGAGAACGGAGGGATACGAGATTGCTTATCGCTAAACATACTTAAAAGGACTATGCATTGGTGTATTTGGACATTGGGCGATATGCGAATCATGGCATAAGATTTCTTCTGCCTGCAACTGTGATATACCGTTTGCAGTAAGACTACCAGGCTATAAATGATATACTTGACACATTGCGAGACCATTGGCAGATTTCCATTGACTCTATAAAGGCTGTACTTTATCAAGGATCAATATTTTCTTCCTCCAGCTCCGAAAAAGGTCGCTCGAACGAAGAAAGTGACCAAGCAACTTAGATTAAGTTAACTTACTTAACAAAGAAATCGTAACTTTAGTCATTAATCTGGTAGTAAAGAGTTTTAGAGCCCTATTATTGCTATTATAATTAGATAATTTTAAACCATGTCTGCAATTTCCAAGTATCAATATTTTAATCTGAGGGAATTTAGCGAGCTTCTTCGATATATTCCTCAAGGCTTGAATTCCTTTTGCACAGCCGGGCCAGCTTCTGCGTTGCTATTATCTGCAGAATTCTTGTTAGCGTGGCTCTCGGGTGTAGCTTCGTTGCGTTCAATCTCCTCGCTTTCTTTCTTCTCGCCAATCTCTTCATCGGTCTGATGAGTGCCTGCCTCTCTTCTGATTCTGGCCATTTCGTGAGGCGGAGGAGCGATCCATTTTCTGGATTTCCAGGGAAGAACCTTAGAGAGATACATTGTGTCTATCTCTTCAAGTGTTCGTCCTTGTCCTTCATTAACAAAGAAGTAGACAATAAGACCTCCAAGGAAGTTGCACGCGGCGAACACATATCCGTAGCGGAAGTCAATACTGCTTGTAATGAAAGGTGTAAAAAATGCTGTAAAATGTTAGTTCTGATTCTGTGAATGAAATCGACGATCTGTCACTAATTTAACTGACCCAGTAAGAAGTTCCATAACCAGTTGGATGCTGTGGATAGTGCCAACCCTTTTGCACGGAACCGACTAGGATAAAGCTCGGCCGCTGTTCTTGTCAAAAGTTGTCCCTATTCGTATTCTTTCCTCCAACTCACCTATCGTCCAGACCATTGGACCCCAAGTTGTCGCAAACCCGAGAATGAACAGCGCTGCAAGCACGATCATACCAGTTCCAGTTCCTTGGGTGCTCTGTGGATTTTGTCGATCGAGCGAGAAATGACCGGCCGAGGCGAAGCATAAGAACATGACGAACATCCAAGCAGATCCGATGATCAGACAGATTCGACGGCCAAAGGCCTCGACAAAGTAGATACCGAGAGGCGTCACGCCGAAGTTTATGCCGTTAAGAATCATTTGAGTAACAAAGGAATTGTTGATACCCGTTGCCTTGAATATCACGGTTCCGTAGTAGAAAAAATAGTTGGCTCCTGTGAGCTGTTGAAACATTTGCAGAACTACGCCCAGAAGGATACGATATGGCATCATGGGAGTGCGAAGCATCAATGCCCATTCAGCAAGAGCACTGCCCTGAGCTGATTCTTCTTGAAGCTTGACCTCAATCTCCTCGAGTTCAACAGCAATAACATAGTGGTTCGCCGGAGCTCCATAGACACGCATCATTGTTGCTTTAGCCCCCTCTTTGTCACCTCTCCGGTATACAAAGCGAGGAGTCTCTGGGAGAAAGAGTATTCCAATGCCGAGTATGGCGCAAAAGATGAAGCCCAGTCCAAGTGAGATTCTCCACGATCCAGAGTTGTCGCGCTGGTGCTCGTATGTACCGTAGTTTACACATGCGGCGAAAAAAATTCCAATTGTAATGAACAGTTGATAAGTGCTAATGAGGGCTCCACGAATATGCTTTGGTCCAGCCTCAGCCTGATACATGGGTACAAGCATGCTCAGCGCACCAACTCCAAGGCCCGCTACCCAACGACCCATCATAACTTGATACCAATGGTGATCCGAGCTGATCTGAACAATGAGTCCGACTGCAATGATGATGGTCCAAAAAGATAAAGAAGGTCGACGGCCAGCATAGTCAGCAATGGGTGCAGCGATCAAAGCTCCAATAAGAGTTCCAATAGATAGCATCGCAACGATGAGGCCAGAACGAACATTGCTGAAATAGTACTCTCCGTTTCTATGCCGCTGGCCAAAACGTTCCAAGAAATCAGGCATGGCGAGAAAACCAGAGATTTGGCCGGTGTCAAAGCCAAACCTAGACAATGTTAGGTAGTCTGGACTCAGAAGGAGAAGGTAGGAGCAAGATACAGGAAACCGCCCATAGACACCAACACGCCCATCACAAAGCTGGGGAAAGTGATTCGTCTGAGAGGAGAGTAGTCTAGATTTGCTAGACTAGCCCTCGACTTGTCGGTGCCATTGCGAGGATCAAATTGATCATAGTAGACAGTTGTGCTGAGATGAAATCTCTCGGCAAAAGACTTCTGTCTTGGCACCAGTTGCTGAACTTCAGCCATGATTAAAAGGAGAAAAAGTGTGGGCCTAGTGCTTGAGAGAGTGAGAACTCAGAAAAGACACGTCCTTCATTGCCATTTGTCTCAGTCAACTCTTATACAGCGGCGATCAGCAGCTTGGACCATCTTCTCCATGATTGCGGAACTCCGCTACTGATTTATCATCCGATAAATCCGGGGTCACCAGCTCGACGGGGTAGGCGAGAACCTGTTGTCATGCGTTCTAGTGGTCTGCTAGAAGTTTGTGCTAGAAGGTGAGTAATCTACACGGACACCAAATGCCGGGGACCGCGTGACAACGAAGTTCCAGTTTTTATCCGTATCCGGAGTTGACCGGGGACCAGTATGGTGGTCAATCATGTCAAATCTGTCCGGCCATTCTCTGTTGATCATTTCGAAAGAAATGGGATCGTGCTGGACATTCCCCCTCAAGGCTCTTATTTTATGCTGATGGGATCAATCAATAGAAAACTTTGATATCCGTGGGACATTAAGATGCCAAAGTTTTCCAACAGACTTCGTCCATCGATCGGCAGTGGTGGTATGGCTGTGATACACCTTTCAGCCGGATGTTCTCGGATGCCCGGCACGAGACAACGTGTCTGGGATGTGCACAAGTGGAGCACATATGCGTTCAGGCAGATACTGTAATCAGCTCTTTATTCGCTCGCAATCCTCGCTTGTCAGTCCTTGAAAGGCGCTTGTTGGGTTACGGTGAAGTGCATGGCTCCTCTTACATGAAGACTCATCCAGCCTGGCTCTCTTTCCCTTGAGCTTCTACTAGAAATAGTTACTTCGGTACCTGAGATTCGCATCAGAGGCTTTGGATCAACTGAGGACACAGCGGTATTCATCCATGGGTCTTACCGTACTTTTGGCCGGAGATGGCGTGCTAGGTTGCGTGACATGTTTGGGCAAAAGACAACTATCAAGCACGTGGTGAGGCTAAGCTTTTTCACGATGACGAAGGTGGCACAAGCAAAATTCAACATCAAACAATGTACCAAACATTCGCTGTCGCTCAATTTCTTGCAGGGTACCGTGATCGTTTTCCCCGTTTTTTAATTGGCCTCCGAGATTTTGGTCAGAATTCAGAGGTGACTTTCCTGAAATGTGGAAGCAAAAACACAGAGATTGTATGGACGGCATTTGACTGGTCGCGTTGGCAATGCTTTGAGCGCATCTCATTTTTCCTCATGCACGGAGTCGAAGGAATCTGGGTGTGAAGGACGTAGAAAAATGATTGGCGTGTTGATTTACGCTTATAAAGTCAGACCGACGATCAACGCTTAAATCTGACAAGCCCACCCTCCCCTCGCTTTTTGTGAAAATCAGGCTCGACTTGTAGGCTTCTAGAAAAGCTGGGATTCGAGACGCAGGCCACGCATTACCGTTACATCAATGATGTAGACCCTAGTATTCCCCAGGAAATCCGAGAGTCAGCTTACCACACTCGCGAACGAAGGGTTACGATGGTAGTAGAAATGACGGTTTGGAACAAACATGCTGGACAGGACGCGGTCATCTTTTTTCAGGCTCAAATTACGATACTTCATTGAGATGACTGGGCATGTTTCGTCCTCACATGTATATATACATGTATATAGTCGTCGGAGTCTTGATCGAGACACATTTCAGACCTGTCAGTTAAGCTCAACCAATGGAAATGCAATGATAAAGTTGTTAAGAAAAGAAATGAACAAAGCTAGAACATTTCAATATTTTATCCAAAGGCCTCAGAATCATGGACCCTCGCGAAGGTTGAACGGTGATCTACAGACGGCTTGTTCGACCCTTCCAGCGCTTGGGGCTACCTGAGAGACTCGACCAAATCGATCTGCCACGGGAGAGGGGAGACTCACGCCCACACCGCCATGGTCGCCAGCACAACTCCGAAATGGCCATGGCATCAAATGTGTAGAGCGGAAGATGGTCATTTCAAGGCCGTGCTTGAGCAGTCGGCGGCGGCTCGCGTCGGAAGGCAGAGGGGTGACGCACCCAGATGAAACGGCGATTCAATTCGTTCTAGCTCGAGCGGCTGCAGACCTCCAGATCAGCTTCGAGGCTGAGATTCCGCCTCTAACGCATAATCCATTGCAGTAAAGCGCGTATCTTACGTGGTGCAATCCTTTTCTTCCGCGCGAGCGACGCAAGGTGAAAGTAATCTTAAGTAGTAAATGAGAAGATTTAGGATAAGCAGGTGTCCATTAGCGCATTTCTTATGACGCAGTGTGAGAACTGAGAACTGGTGTTGAGTAAGCATAGGAAGTTTTCGCCTCCGGGAGGATCTCGCTTCAGTGGGCGCTCAAGAGAAATCGGACACTTGTTTTACATGCAAGTAGAACTATATAATAAGTTCTATTCCCGCCCCCCAGATCCACGACATCCAACCGCGAACGCACATCAAGCTACAACATTCACTCAATAGGATGACAACGAAGAATGTGTCACACTGATTCAACAAAATTTTGAGCTCCTCATGCCCAATTTTGGACAGCGCACGTGATAATTTTAACGTCTTGACAGAAGCTCCGCTGACAACGAAGATAGTTTATTCAGGAAGAGAAAGGAGAGACTGCTCCCGCGAAGCGGGAAGTTCAGAATAGTGTTGGAAACACGCACGTGTGGTGGGATTGCCCTCCCCTAGGATAGAGCTGTACCTAGTGTACGCTCTCTTATACAAATCAATAGATTCGGCATAGTGATGTCGCTTTGCGAGGAGATAAGCAATGCAGTAGACACTTGTCAGCGTGTCTGGATGGTCAACACCGAGCACCTTCTCACTGGTCGCCAGCGTCTGCCTGTGCATCGATCGATTCCGCCTCAGCGTACTTGCGTTGATAGCCTAGTGCTACGGCGAAGTTGTTCTTGCTCTTCAGCGTCAAAACATCCTCATTTCCCATACTTCTCTCTCTCTCAACAGAAGCGCTTGCCGATGCATCGCTGCTGCCTCCGAGTACTGGCCCAGCGTCGATTGGCAACACCAGATCCACTCAAGAAGCGACGCTCTTGCCGCCTCATCCACCGTTATCACTAAAGTGACCAAGTGGATTGCGTGCGGAAGGTACATTAACCATCTCTCCTTCTCCTCATGCCCACCGTACAGCAAAACCTCCTCAAGCCTCTCTGCTGCTTTAACTACCCAACCCTTCTTTTCATCATAGCTGCATTCTGGTAGAAATGGAGCATGGCGTCAATCTCAGCAGAAAGCGCACTGAGATTCCACTTATTGATCCAGCGCGTACCGATCCAGAAGCAACCAGAAATTGTGTCATGGGCTGCTAGCTTGTCACTGAACACGATCTTTGCAAAGCCAGGCTTGTCTCTGCTAGTACTTTTTATTTACTTAGGTCTTTCATATGTGAATTCAACGGCGGGCCACCGGGACCGTGTTGATCAGGCTTATCAGGCTAAACAGGCTTACTGCGATAGCTTCACGTATCTGGGCAAGAACAAACACGAGGCTAGCGTAAGCGTCTTTCAAAACGCTCTCCACAGGAAATGAAGCAGCGTACTCTCTGCACAGCGTCGACCTGACAAAGGCAGACAAGATCTGTTGATCGCCTTCTACAGTTAGAGCTTGTTTGCGCGAACTCATTTCGGAGGCCTGCGCGGGGGGGGGGGGGGGGATCAATGGCGTGGGCGAAGAGGAGCGCTGGCCGCAAAGACGGCCGAAGCTGCCGCTATTGGATCAAGGAGGCAACGAAGCTTGGCGGAAGGAGGTCCAGGAGACTCCATGGCGACAAGTCGATTGCAGACGTGTACAAGTTGGGCGCTTGAGGTGCGCAGAGGGCAGTGGTAGAGCTAGGCAGCGCGAACCAAGTCAGATGAAAGCACGAGGAGGCACAGTGGAAGAGCGGCACGAAGCACGAAACGAGGGAATCTTGCTAGCGTGCGCAAAGACGTGCAGAAACAAAGACAAAGGATGGGGGGGGGAAACAAAAATAAGGGAAATCGAGTTCCTGATGAAGATTTGCAAAGAGAGACAATCTAGTGGACGACCGGCCAACGCTCAACCCGAATATTAAGACATTCCAACGAAGTATCGACTTTTGTGCCCCACACCCGAGCCTTGTGACAAATTCCCACTCCAGCCTACAGTTGAAACCCCTGCGAGCTACCAGTCTATCCAAACACGCTGAATATATACCCGAGAGTCATCGTACATGACGGGATTTCCGCCAAACGCGGAGCACATGCGCCCTCACATGTGGAGTGCAAACCGCTTACAAGGTAGCGCCGACCATCTTGGCGTACGCCTCCGTCGAGAAGGACTTGGGGCGCTCAATTGGAGCGCCAACTGCACGGTCGATGATGAGCTGAGGAAGGACGCCGAGGGCTCTCGACACGCCGAACAGGACTGTGTAGTAGTTCTGTTCGGTCAGGCCGTAGTACTGCAACAAGACGCCGGAGTGCGCGTCGACGTTCGGGTAGGGGTTCTTGGTCTTGCCGTGCTCGGTAAGCACGCCAGGAGCGATCTTGTACACCTGGGAAACGAGCTTGAACATCGGGTCGTCTGGCAGGTGCTTCTGCGCGAACTCGCGCTGGGAGACGTAGCGTGGGTCCGTCTTGCGGAGCACGGCGTGGCCATAGCCTGGCACGACACGGCCACTCTTGAGCGTAGCCCACAGGTACTCCTTGATCTTCTCGTCAGACAGGTCATTGCCGATCTCAGCCTTCATCTCCTGCAGCCACTTGAGGACTTCCTGGTTGGCAAGGCCGTGAAGCGGGCCGGCAAGACCGTTCAGACCAGCAGCGAGCGAGAGGTAGGGCGACGAGAGCGCCGAACCGACAAGGTGCGTGGTGTGTGCAGAGACGTTACCACCCTCGTGGTCGGAGTGGATGGTCAGGTACAGACGCATGAGCTCGACAAAGTCGGCGTTGGACGCGAAGCCGAGCTTGTTGGCCAAGTTGTAACTGTAGTCCTGGCTCTTGTCCGTGGGAGCAACCTTGCCGTCCTTGTAGACGTTGCGGTAGATACGCGCAGCGACGTTGGGCAGCTTGCCGATCAGGTCCATGCTGTCCTCAAAAGTGTACTGCCAGTAGTCGGTCTTCTTCATGCCCTTGGCATATGCCTTGGCGAACGAGGACTCGCGCTCAAGCGCAGTCACCGCAAGCGAGAATTGCGCCATCGGATGCAGGTCGTTCGGGCAGCGGTCGATGAGTTCCTCGACATATTTGGGCAGCTCGGCGCGGGCAGCCCACTCCGCAGAGAGCTGGCGCACCTGCTCCTCAGTGGGGACCTCACCAGTGAGCAGCAGCCAGAAGAGACCTTCTGGAAGAGGCTCCTTGCCACCAGGGGCCTTGGGGAGCTGTTCCTGGCATTCCGGGATCTTGCGGAGGTTAGCAACTGTGTCTGATTGTTGTTCGTGTTCTACGTAGCACGAACCGTCCTACCACGGAATCGGATCCCCTCCTCGGCGTCTAGCACTGAGCCCTCCCAAACGAGGGCACGGATGCCACGGGCACCACCGTAGACTTGGTCTTTGCCAGCTGTTAGCGGTGCGATGCACAAAATACAGGAGAGAAACCGATTGACATACCAAGAGTGACCTCGCCTAGCTTTGCGTTGCCGTATTCCCTTCCGATCCTGTCAGCCTTGTCCGTGAACCAGTAGACATGTCGTAGTTTGCAGCGGATGAGACGCAGCAATGCAGAGAAGTATGCAAATGATAGTAGCATTTGCAGGCGTCGGCAAGGGCTCCAATGCCTTGAACGATCGCCTCAATTCTTATCAAGCCAGTGTGTGTAGCGAGGACGGGAGCTGCTGGGGCTATGGCATACTTCTTGAGCTTCTTGATTTGCTCGACCTTTGCTGGAACTGCACAGTGATGATGATGGTCAGGACCGTGTCAAGCAATTTCGGATTCGATGGGCTCTACGAACTTTGAGCAGCGAAGGTCTCCTTCAAGGTTGAGGCGTTGCGCTTCTGCACATTCCAAGCAGCGGATCTGAGCGAGGAGCTCGCACGGAATGCGGAGGTTCTCAATGCAGCCATTGTGAGGAGATGTGTAGATGATATGTGAAGGCAAGGAGCGGAGAATGTTACCAGCGATGGCCGAGGCAAAGAAAAATGGATGAGAGAGTACGGTAGCAGGTCAACAACTGGACTGAAGAAAGTATTTTTCCTAATCGGACGGCGCCAGGGAGCTTGATGAGCGGCGCAAAGCAGGATGAGGTCAGTGCTCTGCCGCATGGGGCCGTGACTGTGCCCGAGACGGCCCCAACAAACAAGAGCGCCAGCGAAAAAAAACCGCCCGTTGCTGTCCGGAGTCCGAGCAATGACCGCGCTCACGGCAGCAGAATGGCCAGACGGACGCGGCTGAGCGTCCTGTCAGCGCAGTCGCGAGCAGAATTCATTCCGTCCAGCGGTAGCCGGGGCCACAAGCGGCAGACTCGTCGCCTCACATGCCGTTCTGTGCTTCACGGGCACTGAATGAGCTCCTTGTAAGTTATCACTAACTAGTCTAAGCACATACCAAGTATCACGTGACATAAGCAAACGCTGGCTAGATAAGAGAGGAGAGCCAGGGGTAGGGGACAGGAGAACAACCATATAATCCATCAGTTAAGACAGTATATAATGAACTAAGCAGGTTTACGATCTCACTTATGCACCATTTATCGCTCCCGTGATCTTCCGCACAGACATTGACAAAGCGTGCTT